GGATGCACCTGGAAAATATAGTGTTGAGTAAAATAAATCAGACACACAAGCTTAAATACCATATGGTAGCTCTTATTAGAGTGAGACAAAGTACAAAGAAAATAATAAGGGATAGAAAGGGACAGAGGCTGGAGCTCATGCGTTAGGGAAGCGGTCCAAGGGAACAAGGCTGAAGAGTGAGTGGGAGGGGAGAGGAAATATGAATAAAGCTGTGCCTTGTACAGGAACCTAATATTCCCAAGTACTGTAAGCAATAGATACCATAATATGAACTAAGACAAAGAATATCAACAGGTACAAAAAAGGGGGCTGAGGAACCTGAGGAGGAGGAGACAGAAGGAAGAGGAAAAAGATTAATAAATAAAAGAAACAAGCTATGTAACCACTCCTCAAGATGATTTTAAACTGCCTGAATTACAAGCATGTACTAATAAAAATAAAAACATTTTAAGTAAGAAAAAAAGGACAAGAAAATTATGGACAGTTTCAAAGCTTACAAAGCATACACCTTTTTCTCAAAGTTTAACTTACAAAGAGATTTAATTTATGTGCCATATTATTATTCTAGTATTAATACTAGAAAAAGACCAAATCTAAATATGTATCAATTGAAAACTAGTTAAATAATCAATCTCTCCATATATATAGCTCTAACCTGTTGGTAGATTTATTGGCTATTTGGGAGTCCTCTTCGTGAAATATCTGTCCATATCATTTAAACTCTTTCCCATTGACTCCTCCATCCTTTTGTGACAATTTTGGGGATAATTTTTATGATGTGGTCACAGATCCTTTGTATATGGTGCAAACATTTGCTTATACTTTGTAAGCTTGTCTGTATGCGTGTGTACATGTTGTGTGATACTGAGGGTTGAGCCTCGGGCTCTGTGCATGCTGTGTGAGCACTCTACTAATCAGCTACGTCCCCTACCCTCTTTTCATTATCAAGAGTGCTTTGGTAAACAAAAATAATTCTCTATTTTAACATTGTCCAACACTCGAAATGTTCTCTTTTTGATTATTCTATTTTTGTCTTAAGAACTTTTGGCATATTGCACAGAAACGAAGTTCTCTTATGGTTTTCTCTAAACACTTTAATTAATAGATCTGTAATTTAAATCTAATTGATTGGCATGTATCATAAAAAGTTCAAATGAGTTTTTCCATTTGGATATGCAGAGGGGGTTTATTGAAAACATAATTTTTTCATTATGCACTAAAGTATCACCTTTGTCATGAAAAGTATGTGTGGGTTTTTCTCTGAACTCTGTTCTGTTCCAATGTTTGCTTTGATTCTTTTTGTGTCGTTTCTGTTCTAGTTAACTATTGCTTTAGAGTAGATCTTGGATTGTAGAGTCTCTATAATTGTTCTTCAAGCTTGACTTTGCTATTATTGGAATTTTATGTTTCTGCATGAATTTTAAAAGTCAAATTGTCATTTTTCTATATTCACAAAGCCTGGGATCTTGTGTTGAAACTGTCAATTGAACTAGAGAATACTGACATCTTTACAATACTTCGAAATTTTAAGTACCCATTTACTTGGCTCTTCTGTAGTCTTCTTCAGAAACATATTTTTTAGAAGATGTATTTAGATACTGGGTGTGGTGGCACGCACTTGTAATCCCAGCTCTTGGGAGGCTGTAAGCAGGCGGATCACTACAAATAGGATCTAGTAGTGAGACCCTGAACACTCTGTAGACCCTTCCTTGAAATACAAAAATAAAATAAAATAAAATAAAAGATGTATTTACTTATTTGGTACAGAATCTCACTACAGAGCTCAGACTCATAGTGATCCTCCTGTTCCAGCCTCCCCAGCACTGAAATTACAGGCATGTGCCAACTCACCCAGTTTCGTGGCCAGCATGGTATGCGGTACTGGGGATTGAACCCAGGTCCATGCACTTACCAGGCAGGTGCTTAAACTGCCAAGCTACCTATTTCCCTGGCTCTTCAGTAACATTTTA